GGTTTAAGTTCTGGGTCTGAGTCGGCTCTTTTCTTGCCTCTCCTGGTCTCCGTCTTGGCGATTTCTTTCCAATTCACAGATTCGCAAAATAAAGCACTCTTCTAGATGATAAGATTTAGTCCTCCATGCCTCTCTGTTTACGCTTTCCAAAGACCCTTAGAAATATATTAAAAAAGCAAATTTAGTTGAAGTCCTCCTCAAAATGTCGGGCGCAACTTCTCTATGGTAATTTCATGTAGAGTAGGTCAAATTGATACTTTGCAGGCCCTTCCTTCCGCATACAACTCACTTCCGGTCCGGCACCTTTAAAAGTTCCACTGTCTTCCTTTCGCTAATGCCCGTCTAGGAATTCAACTTCCTGGATGTTTCACACGGACCTCTTTCTTTGTGACACCAGCCTGCTCTTCCCACGCTATTGTTCGTGAGTTTCGATTTTACAGTTGCGCACACGGCTCCATCTTCACCACAGGAATGTTAAACAATAAGCGTTTTTACAGTTTTTAAAGGCTTCAATCAACTTTTTTCTCTCCGGAATCGGATTTCTGGGATTTACTATTCATTTTCCGCTCAACCGCTTAATTCAAATTGACTCCAAACTCAGTTCAGGTAAGCGGCACGTTTTTGTTATCTAGCACGTTCAAAACGGGTTTCGCATTGTTTCTTTTAACTCACAGTTGTTGTCCTTCTTCAAAGAAGTCTGCTGACGAAGAATTTATGCCGGTAATCCGGCTCGATCGGCCACTATAGAGTTGCTTGGCACTTGCCTTCTTCGTGGGAGGAGGTCAAAGCCCAATTCAGCTTCTTCCGAAGCTGGATTACGCCAACCTCACACTCCCTCTAGGGCGCTGCTGCCTGCTTGTCCCCCCCCCTCGCTGGGGAGTGATGCGTTGGGCTGTGTATTGCCCAAACTGTCAAAAGTGGCCGTCGCTCGCTTCGCACGATCGCGAAACGCTTCAGTCCTCCATCTTAGCCAGACCGGAAGCCCGCCATAACCATTTCTTAAGTTGTGCCCCAGGAGTTGGTTCTCATGGGATCGACCTTGGAGACTCTTTTGCCTGTCTGAGCTGCCATAGAAATGCTAGGGGCTAGGTGTGACGTACGGATGTGTGGGGTTTTATGCTTTTACCTATAACCAGTATGTTCCCACAGTTTTCTTCAGTCCTAACAAAAGTTCTTGTATCTACAGTAAGCATATCTCTAATAAAGCATTTCATTGCCAAGAGTGTGTGTGGAGAGTGTCTTAGCCGGGGACCTAACAGCCAGAAGAAGCCCCATCAGTGTCCTCAGACAAAAGCCCGGCGGAACAACTCTACCTTACATGCCCTGCGGAAAGGTAGCAACTCCTGCAGGGCACAGATGTCTTCCAGCACAGAGTTCCACCAGGTAGGGGCCAGGGCTGAAAAGGCCCTGGCCCTGGTTGAGGACAGCCGGACTTCTCTCGGGCCAGGGACCACCAGCAAGTTCTTATTTCCTGAGTGTAGTGCTCTTCCAGGGGTATACTGGGAGAGGCGGTCCCAAAGATATGTAGGAGCAAGAGAGGAGTTCTGCCTTGGTGCCTTGCTGAAAATTTTTGGGTGAAATATAAAAAGTAAGCTTGTTTTGCAAAAGGAAAGTTTTGGTTGAGAATATGAACTTTCAGTTCTCATAATAACTTTTTCAGAGCTGTGAGCTCAGCTGACACAATTCTCACCTACTTGCTGTATGATTGAATTAGATGTGCCATGGGACTCATGTCTGTGGATAGTAGATGCAATAGAGAGAGCTACTACCAGGTTAATTAGGTTTCACTGCAGTTATTTTCCTGAAAGGCATATTAACAAGGGTGTATATAGTAAAGAGGTTTTGTTTTTCACAGTCCCCCTGATGCTTTCGAAACACTGCTCTTTGCTTATGATGTATGCTTCAGTCTTTATTCCACATTAGAGTTCACTCGTAACTCTTTCCACTGAGTTTGCAATGCAGCAGTTTCCAAATTTTGTCTCCTCAGGGAACACTTCCACAGTGACTTATGCTCTGAAGAAATCCCCCCCACACACACACCATGAAACTCCTGCGTGTCACAGAGCATTCTGGGATTTTGAAGCTATGGAAAGAAATAAATTAGATGTTTCTATAACTGGATTGTTGTCAGTACATTGGACTTAAAGCTTTTTTTTCCTGCTCCTTTTTTTGAGGGTGATACTCCACTTCTATTTTTCCGCAGAGGAATCTGGAAATTTAATCAGGGGTTACTCAGAAGTTTTGAAAAGCACTTTGAGACAAAGCTTTCCTTCCTTATTTATCTTCTGCTACAATACAATGAACTGGGGACTGGTGTGTGTATTCTGGGGCATACTACTCTCACTTCATATGGAGTGGCAAAAAAGTCAAAGATTCCTAGCAAACCTCACATTAACTTAGTGCATGCCACTTTCAGGAAAGCATGGGGCTCCATAGTATACATGCAGGGGTTCCTTAGGGGATGAGTCAATGTGGATAGGGTTCCCTTTAGTCAAAAAAATTGTAAACCACCAGACTAGAGCAACATTTTTATGTAACCTGATGTTCAGGGCCTATTGAAAGAAGTATGGGAGATCACTAGTGAATTGTGGTTTGAGGTAACAAGTATCTCTTCTGTGAACACATTTACATGATGGAGGTATATCCACTCATGTCAAGGTTGAATTCTGCCATGGAAGAAAAAGTGAGGCACATTTTCCCACCAAAACATGGTTTCCCCACTCTGACAGAGCAGACTCCTAGTAGTGTATTTCTATTATAGAACTGTAACTTTCTGTGTTTCTGTGATAGAGAAGTTATTTGGCTTTAGCCCAGGCCAAAGATTTATTGTAACTCAGCAGGAGCCCTTTTACAAAAAGGGATTGAGAAGTTGAGAATAGGGCAGGGGACAAGAAGTTGAGGTAATAAAGCATTTAACAGCAATTTTGCAGCATTATAAGGCCATTAAGAAAACGCAGGAAAACGCATTGCTTTAGCAAGCAGGAAGACAAGGTACAAAAGACATAGACGCTTGCAAACAGGCATGACCATATTAGGCGTTGCTAGGACCCATTACTAAGGAAGATGTTAACCTTGCTTTATTTCTTTTTTTTTAAACCCCCGAGAGGGTATTTTTATTATTTTTCATAAGACTATTAACTACAATGAAAAATAAAGGAAGGGGGACTACATCTAAGGATAAAGGAAAGATACCCACACTAACTAAAACCCCAAGAGTAGGAGATCCTTTCCCTGTTAATCTAAATGTTAGTAAGACAAGTGTTAGTTTTATTTATTTATTTATTTTATTGTATTTATACCCCGCCCTCCCCACGAGCGGGCTCAGGGCTGCTCACATAAGGCACTGAGTGCAGTCAACATACAAAATATATAATACAATTTACAAAGTTAAAACAGATTAAAATCAATACAATGGATGCACACATAACTCCTCACTTGTTGCGTAGCAGGGGGGAAGGCCAGGTGCTGAAAAGATGTTACCCGACCACCCTAACGGTCTCTCTCTGTAGAAGGGCGGTGGTACAAGTGGCCGTGGCGGCTCCTACTCATAAGCCTGGCGGAAGAGCCCACCCCTACTGGGAGAAGTCCTGCTGGGTTCGAGTGGATTTGGGCCAAGGTCTGATCACTCTTGCAGCTCATCTGCACTGGTCCTGGACTCATTTTGGCCCTAACAGCCCCTCATGAACACACACACACAAAACTGCCTTGTACCATATCAGACTATCAGTCCATCAAGGCGGGGCTGAGGGCTGTGAGGGAGGCTAAGGGGCCCCTGCCCTTGTCTACTCAGACTGGCAGTGGCTCTCCAAGGTCTCAGTCAGAGGTCTTTCACATCACCTCCTACCTGATCCTTTTAATTAGAAATGCCAGGGATTGAACCTGAGACCTTCTGCACACCAAGCAGATGCTCTACCACTGAGCCATGGCCCCTCCCTCCCCTGTTATTCAGCAGGGGACCCATGAAGAGATCATTCCTTGCAAGAGGGCAATAGCAGGTTTCCAGGCCTAGACTTTCTATTCTGGAGGAGGGCCTGGGCGAGCAGCAGTTATGCTCAAGATCTATGGAATGCCCACAGATGCAGATAAATAAGTTTGCATAACTATTCATTTGAAGTCATTATTCGTCTCTCTTTACTTGGCTAGTTAATTAATTCACTGGCACGTTGCGGACAGGTGTGCACATAAAAAGAAACTGCTGTGAATGCTCTTTGAGATTGCTTTATATTTTGTTTAGAGGCACCCACAGATATAGCACACAAAATGGATCCCCGCCCCCAAAAGACAGAGCTGGATAGGCTGGTGAGTTTTCTGTCAGATCCTCCCTCCGATTTACTTACACAGGTTTTGCATTCTGATATCTGCAGGAGTTCAGCACCATTAAACTTCTCATTTCGGTACAAAAGTGAAATTTCACAGTCGGTAAATACAAGACGGTAGAAGGGAGAGAACGAGCGCTGGACTTACATCTACTTGATCACAGAACGTCGCATTGGGTCCGTACTGCAACTGGCACTGGTGGTGCACGTCATAGATCACACCAGGCGCAATGAACGGCGGCTTTAGGTCTTTCTTCTTGGGGACATCGTCCAGGCAGAAGCCCCATCCTCGGCTGAGAGTGACACACAGGCATCATTGTTCACAGTTTTTTTGTCATATTCAGCTAAATCTGTTTGAAATGTTCACTTTGCAACTTGTAAGCAACACTAATGGAGCAGCCTCACACCGCTTCGGGGAAAGTCAGAATTACCAATCACTTCCCCACCACCACCACATGCCAACAGTGGGAGGACAGGACAACAGGGAAATGGGTAGAGCAGAGGATGCCCCTGCAGGACAGACTGTCAGTGATTGGTTGTATCAGGCTGTTTTCACAGGCGTACTTTATGCGGCTGTGTGTAGGAGGTGAAATCAGTGTTCTATTCAGCGCCGGTCAGGCACCAGCTTGAACACAGTATCCTGTTTTGATCGCTCCATTTTCAGGAAGATTATCAACCAACGAAGATGATTCAGTGAATGACGACAATTAATGGTTTGAAATGCATGGCATATGAGGAGGGAGTCTAAGGATGCGGGCATACTTAGCTTCGAGAGAAGGTAATTAGCAATTTTTCAGAAAAAAATAGGTTGGGAACGAAATGTTATAAGGAACACAGGACTGCCACTCAAAACGGCAGTCCTGAGCCGAGTTACCCCCATGCCCCTTCTAATCATACAAACCCCTGTTATTAGGCTGTATATTTCCTTGCCTTGGATAATGGAAGCCAGTAATAGAAGAGAAGAAGAGAAGAGGAGATTGGATTTATTCCCCACCCTTCACTACCCAAAGGAGTCTCAGAGCAGCTTAAAATCTCCTTTCCCTTCACCTCCCCACAACAGACACCCTGTGAGGTCGGTGGGGCTGAGACAGCTCTCTTGAGAACTGCCCTGGAGAGAACAGCTCTGAAAGAACTTGTGACTGACCCAAGGTCACCCAGCAGGCTTCATGTGGAGGAGTGGGGAATCAAACCTAGTTCTCCCAGATTAGAGTCTGCGCTCCTAACTACTACACCAAACTGGCTCTCAAAATATTCAGCAGAGATAGGGAAATCAATAGCAAAACAACTTCAGGACAAATGTAAATTACACATGTTATGTGAAAGGGCAATGAGACCAGGCTACCATAGAAGGCTCTGGCTGAGGACAGTCAGATATCTTTGGGGCCTGGGATCGCCAGCAGATTGCTCTCAGCAGAGCGTAACGCTCTCCTGGTGACATACCAGAGGAGACGGTCCCGGAGATATGCATATATCTACCACATTTGGAATCTAGCAGGTCTTCAGATGGAAATGCTAGCAGCCATATCTGTATATTGGGGGGGGGGGGTCCAGATTTTTTTTTAATATGAAAAGTTTTGGAATCTCTGTCCCGACAGAATTTTAAGAAGAGATTGGTTGGGCATGTGCCAAGAACTGCTACTCAAGGGGCTGATTTTTCAGCCTCTGCAGACATGCTTTGTTCCACAGATCCAATGGGTATGTGTGTGCATGGCAAACTGATCCTGTCTAGCCACATGTCTGACTTGCCAGTGGGTTGCCATCAGGCTTGACTTCTGGGAGGCTGAGGGCAGGGTGAAGAGAAGACGAGGTGTCCTGGAACCGCCAGAAGCAGAAATCTCCAGCAATCTGCTGAGATCGGCAAACAAGAGCAAAGGAGCCGTGACTCCACAGTACAGTCCTCGCTCAGCATCCCTTGGACCTCCGGCTCCACTACAAGCATGGGTTTTCTGATTGTAATGTATTCAGCCTGACATGCCCGGACTTGCCCGGGCTGGCCAGGCACAACTCTTCAATAGCTTCATGTCCAAAGACAATGGGTCCGTAGGATCCTAGCCGGCCCAATCAAAGGGCCAGCTTCTCAGCCGGGAGACCAATGGTCGCCCGGTTACTGTAAATAGCCTATCGGGAGTAGGGGGTGTGTTTAGGTGTACTTGGTGGCGGGTTTTCTGAACGTATATAAACCAGCCTGCGAGCTGGTCCCTTGTCTTTGTCCTGAACTAAATAAAGGTAGGCTTAGCTGAAATCACTCTCCGTCTGCATACTTTTCACTGGCGACGAGGATGGGATTGACGACCCCATGAACAAAGACCCGGACGCCAAACCGAGCCCCGCACCGAGCACCGACGCCGAGACCTCCGGGAACCGCGCCGCTTCGCATCCCAGCTCTCCGGCAACCGCTCATCGCGCAGCTCCTGGCTCCGCTTCGTTCCCTGCTGACCCCGAGAGCAGCAGCGCCCCCCACAACGCTCCAGACGCCATCGCCGTTCCAGAGGCCACCCCACCACGTGGCGGCAGCACAATGGCGACCGCGACCGCAACAGAAACCCTGCCCGCTTTCGATCTCTCCCAGCCCTCGCTGTGGGACACCTGGCTGGACACGCTGGAGAGCCGCTTCACCATCCACAAGGTGGTGGATGACGCGATGAAGAAGGCTTACCTGCTGAGCCACTGCGGAATCCAGACCCATCGGCTCCTCAAGGACTTAATCTCGCCCAAACTAACGAAGGACGAGTCATACAGCTCCTTAGTCCAGGCCCTGACCGACCATCTGGCTCCCAAACCCACGAAGTACGTGGAGCGGTTGGACTTCTTCGCAAGAGTTCAGGCCTCCGGCGAAACCACCTCCGATTTTCTGGCGGCGCTGCGGAGCCTGGCGACCCGGTGCTCCTTCCCCAGCCTCGACGATACCCTCCTGAACCAGTTCCTCGTCGGACTCCGGGAGCCGAAGCTGCAGAGGAAACTGGTGAGCCAGAACGATCTGAGCCTGGACAAGGCCATCCGGGAGGCCTCAGCATACGAACAAGCGCGACAAGACCGCCGCGCCAAGGCGGTCCACCGTACCCAAGTGAGCAGCGGCTCCGACGTCTCGGACCAAGAGGAAGTCCTACAACTCCGACAGCGGACTCAGCAGCGACCAAAACACGCATCCCCCAGGACCAACAAGGCCCCGTCTCCAAGCCAGTGCGCCAGCTGCGGGGAGGGCCACGAACGCCGGTCGTGCCGTTTCCGGAATGCGGTCTGCCGCTCCTGCAACAAGGCCGGACACATCGCCAAGGTCTGCCGGTCCAAGGGACAACGACCGAGATCGGCCACCCACCAGACCACCGCGGAACTGCCCCTGGAGCTCCACACCGTGTCGTCCCACTTCCCACAGCACCAGGTCTGTAACCTGCCCCCCGACGGCCCAAATAAAATGCATGTGACGGTCCTCATAGAGGGAGCCCCCTGCACCATGGAGATCGACACCGGGTCGACCTACTCCATAATATCCGCGGACACGCTCCGTGCACTGTGTCCGCGGGGGGGGCCACCACTACAGAAGTCACGGGGTTTCCGGTTACGGGACTTTAACAAAAACCCCGTGGCGGTGGTGGGCTGGGGCAAGTTCCGGGTCCAGTTTCAGGGCTTCAAGGGCCAACTGGACCTACTGGTTGTGGACCGGCCCCTCTCCAGCTTGTTGGGACTGGCCTGGTTCAAGGCCCTGGGGCTCTCCGTTACGGGCATCAACCAGGTTGGAGCGCAGGATTTCGGGGCGGTGTGCGCAGAATTTCCCCGCATCTTCGATGGGACCCTGGGGCGGTACACGGGCCCTGCCATTTCCCTGGACCTAGACCCCGCGATACGCCCCATCCGCATCAGGGCCCGGCTGCCCCCGATCTCCATGAGGCCGAAGGTGGAGGCCGAGCTTGATCGCCTGGTTGAGCAAGGCGTGCTAGAACCTGTGGCGTCGGCCCGGTGGGAAACCCCCATTGTCACACCAATCAAGCCGAACGGGGACGTCCGCATCTGCGCGGACTATAAATGTACCATAAACAAAGCCCTACAGCCCCACGCATACCCGGTGCCGGTAGTAAGCCAAGTGCTGGCGGCCCTGGCCGGGGCCCGGGTGTTCGGCAAACTGGACTTGGCCCAGGCGTACCAGCAGCTACCGGTGGACGCCGCCACGGCCGAGGCCCAGACCATTGCGACCCACAAGGGGGCCTTCAAAGTGCACCGCCTCCAGTTCGGGGTCTCAGTCGCGCCGGGGATCTTTCAATCTTTTATGGATTCCCTTCTTAAAGGCATCCCCGGAGTTCAGCCGTTTCTAGACGACGTGCTGATCGCCGCGCCAGACCCCTCGTCCTTCGCAGACCGTCTGAGGGCCGTTTTACAGCGCTTCGACGCGGCGGGCCTCAAGGTGAAACGGGAGAAGTGCCTACTGGGGGTGCCGCGGGTGGAGTTTCTGGGCTTCGCGGTGGACGCCGCCGGCCTGCACCCCTCCCAGGACAAGGTAGAGGCCATCACGCACGCCCCGGCCCCGAAGTCCAAGACGGAGCTACAGGCGTTCCTGGGCCTAGTGAACTTCTACCACTCCTTCTTGCCCCTGAAGGCGGCCGTCGCAGAGCCGCTCCACCGCCTCCTCGACAAGTCAGCACCATGGGTCTGGGGGCCTCCGCACGCCGCGGCTTTCCAAACAATAAAGGACCTCCTGGTCTCTAATGCGGTCCTCGCCCATTTTGACGAGGCCCTTCCCGTGGTGCTGGCGTGCGACGCTTCTCCCTACGGGGTCGGGGCGGTCCTGGGGCACAGACTACCGGATGGTCGCGAGGTCCCGGTGGCCTACTACTCGCGGACACTGTCGTCGGCCGAGCGCAACTACGCGCAGATCGACAAGGAGGCGTTGGCAATCGTGGCAGGGGTGAAAAAATTTCACCACTACTTGTACGGCCGTCCGTTCACGATCCTGACGGACCACAAGCCCCTGCTGGGCCTCCTCGCACCCGACCGGCAGACACCGCAGATCACATCGCCCAGGGTGCTACGCTGGTCCATCTTCCTGGCGGGGTATGCGTACGACCTCGTCCACCGGCCCGGAAAGGCGATGGGCCACGCTGACGCACTGAGCCGCCTGCCCCTCCCCAAGTGCGACCCGGACCCGGCCCCCGCGCTCCTAGTCGCGAGCCTGGAAGCCCTCACGGACCAGCCGGTCCATGTTTCGGAGGTGGCACGCTGTACCTCCAAGGACAAGACATTGGGGAGGGTCTTGGACTGGGTGGTGAGGGGGTGGCCCGAGGCCAAAGGAGACCAGGACATCGCCCCGTTCGCCACCCGGAAAAACGAACTCTCAACCCACAAGGGGTGCTTGCTGTGGGGAAGCCGGGTGGTCATCCCCTCGCCTTTAAGGGAACGGGTACTCACCGCCCTGCACGAGACACACCCCGGGGTGGTGCGGATGAAAGCCCTGGCCAGGAGCTACGTGTGGTGGCCGGGACTGGACGCCGACATTGAAGGAGTAGTCAAGAGGTGCCAGCCATGCCAAGCCTCGCGGCCGGAACCACCCCGAGCGCCCGAGAGGGCCTGGGAATCCTCCCACCGTCCCTGGTCCCGCCTCCATCTGGACTTTGCGGGGCCCTTCCAGGGCAAGCTGTTCTTCATCCTGGTGGACGCATACAGCAAGTGGCTGGAAGTGGTCCCCGTGCCCTCCACATCCTCGCAGGCCGCAATCCGGGCCATGTGGAGGATCTTCAGCGGCCAAGGGATCCCCGACACGCTGGTCACGGACAATGGAACCGCGTTCACCTCGGCCGAGTTCCAGGCTTTCACCAGGTACTACGGGATCCGCCACGTCCGATCCGCCCCGTTCCACCCTGCCACGAATGGCCAGGCGGAGCGCATGGTGCGCACCACAAAGGACGCACTTCGCCGACTGGACTCCACCGATTGGGACTATAAACTAGCAGCCTTTCTCTTCGGACAGCGTACCACGCCACACACCACGACCGGCCGCTCCCCGGCCGAACTACTGCTGGGCCGCCGCCTGGCCTCCCGACTGGATCGGTTACACCCAGATCGGGCAACCCCGGAGGCCCCGGGCACCGAGACGTACGAGCCGGCCAGAGGGTTCTTTCCAGAGGACCCGGTGTACGCCCGAAACTACGGCCGGGGGCCTCAATGGATCCCAGCCCGAGTCATACGGGTCAAGGGCCCCCGTTCATACGAGGTCTCCAGCGAGGACGGCCAGATCCTCCACCGGCACATAGATCAGCTGCGCCGTCGCACGCTACAGCTGGACCCTGAGGATCCGGACGAGGACCCAGAGCCTGCCACATCGGCCCCACTCCCGGCACCGGATCCACAGCCGCCTCTCCGTGAGGAAACCGAGGCGCCTCCCACCGTGGTGCCAGACTGTCCTGCCTCCTCGGCGCCCTCGTCGGTCCCAGGCCCCTCGGCTCCCAGGGCCCCCGAGACCGAACCCATCGCTACCCCGGAGCCCCGACGCTCGACGCGCCCCAAGAAGCCACCCGCCTACTTGAAGGACTTCGTCTGTGGGTGCCTTCTGAACCAAGGGGGGAGGGGTGTTATGTATTCAGCCTGACATGCCCGGACTTGCCCGGGCTGGCCAGGCACAACTCTTCAATAGCTTCATGTCCAAAGACAATGGGTCCGTAGGATCCTAGCCGGCCCAATCAAAGGGCCAGCTTCTCAGCCGGGAGACCAATGGTCGCCCGGTTACTGTAAATAGCCTATCGGGAGTAGGGGGTGTGTTTAGGTGTACTTGGTGGCGGGTTTTCTGAACGTATATAAACCAGCCTGCGAGCTGGTCCCTTGTCTTTGTCCTGAACTAAATAAAGGTATGCTTAGCTGAAATCACTCTCCGTCTGCATACTTTTCACTGATCCTGCCCACTGAAATTAATCTGTGCTTGTGATGGACCACATTGAGTATATGATCACATCTCCATGCCGACATCCAGTCTGTGGTGGGAGATAAACTCTGCAGCAAGATTTGAACTGTTTCCCCAAATTATGGCAAGATGATAGCATTCACTATATCTAGTGAAATCGACTGTTGTAGGGATTGGATTTATGCCTGTAAGGTTAAAGCAGGCAGCCATTCATCAAGTTGGCTCAGCTCTGAGATAAGGGCTGTCACTCATGAAAGCTTATCTCACAAAAAAACTTGTTAGTTTTAAGTACCCCAAGAGTCTGTTTACCAAATAGTAGCTTATCTTGTGTACATGTAACTCTCATGGTGAGCTGGTCATTAGTTGTATCTGTCCATATGGCTGGATGCTTTGCAATGCAAGGAAGTGTACTCTTATCACTTGGGCAGTTTCAAGCTGATTGACACTTCATGGAGCTGTATGTGGGATTTGGGTTGCTTCTACATGAAAAGGATTCCCCATTTTGATCTCATCAGTCGGAGCCTCCACACAGGGTGATTCTCTCCTTTCTTTTTAAAAATATTTACTGCTGAGTGTTATTTTTAAAAAACCCTGCCATTAGTAGGGGGGCAAGAATATTGGGCAGGAGGGGAAAGGTGCTGGATTTGAGCAGAGAGCTGTGGAAATCCACAATTTTCTTTCCACTCTTTTCTCAAGCTTGGTTTGAGTAATATCTTTTAGATGATGATGATGATGATGATGATGATGATGATGATGATGATGATGATGATATTGGATTTATACCCCGCCCTTCACTCAGAGTCTCAGAGCAGCTTACATACTCTTGCTAGATGACCTTGGGCAAGCCATAGTTCTGTCAGAGCTGTTCTCTCAAGGACAGTTCTGGAAAGAGCTCTCTCAGCCCCACCTACCTCACAGGGTGTCTGTTGTGGGGAGGGGAAGGGAAAGGAGTTTGTAAGCCACTCTGAGACTCCAAGTGAAGGGCGGGGTATAAATCCAACCTCTTCTTCTTCTTTCCTTTCCCCTCCCCACAACAGACACCCTGTGAGGGAGGTGGGGCTGAGAGAGCTCTGACAGAAACTGCTCTTTTTCAAGAACAGCTCTGACAGAACTATGGCTTGCCCAAGGTCATCCAGCCAGGTGCAAGTGGAGGAGCGGGGAATCAAACCCAGTTCTCCCAGATTAGAGTCCAGGCACTTAACCACTACACCAAACTGGAAATACTGTACCAAGGCAGGTTTGATAAAAATTGCAGTGGTGCCATGGAAAACCTGGAAGGACGACGGCCAGATGATGGTGCCGGGCAGAAACCCCCAGAAGAACCGCTGGCGTTGGTTTCTCAGAAGGAGAATGGGCAATTGCAGGCTCCAAGGGATAACACAAAAATTAGCGGCACAACCTGCAATCAGTTCCACCCAACACTACATCTATTCAGATCGGACTGACATTCTGTACAAGATGCAGACAAAAGGCCTAAGGGCCATTGCCTGAAACGTCTGCCCCCTTTTTTGTTATGTATTATTTTTGCTGGTCTTAATAAAGGTATTACATAGGCTTTTTTGATCCCGACACTTCATCTGGTATTCCCTAGTTTGGATTCCTGAAAGCTCTGAAGACGGGACCCATTCTCTCCTCCTGCAGAACTGATTTCATGAAGTCCCTCCTCCTGCACAAGACCTCTGACTCCATCAAGCCATTTCTAGGGACTCAGTTTCTGCTATCTGTTTTGGTCAACTTGATAATCATTGGTTATGCCCTGCTAAAGTGCTAAAAGGTCATCAATGGGAAGAAGGAAAAAAATATTCTTCTAAAGTGTCCCTTTGTCCCTGTTGCAGCATTGTCATCTTCACTTACTCGAGGAACCGTGTGATGTATTCCCTGCTGCATCGTGACCAAGTGAGCGGAGAGGGGTCATACTGTAGCTGCCGGGACATGATGTACGGGTGTCTTCCCACGGACTCACAGTCATTCTCCTTTCCGTCATGCTGGATGCCAAAACTAGGAGATAAGTAAGCGGGCACAAGGTATAATTTATAAAGAGAGAACGTCCTATCTACAAATAGCCAAAGGCACTACATAAATCTGCAGGATTTGCTTTCGGTTATCTGTTAATATAAAGAATGTTATCTTCCTGGCCTGAATGGAGGCTCATAAAAGCAATCTATTTTGAATGATAACAAGACAAAAATTATGAACTAAGATGTTCACAGCGCCTTTCTAAACAAGTTACACCCTTCTAAGACCATTGACTTCAATGGATTCAGAAAGATGCAACTCTGTTCAGAGCAACACTTAATAAAGAATAAAGGCCACTGGGCTTTCTCTTCAAACTGACATTAAGGGAAAAAAAGACAGCGTAAGGGTAATTAGAAATAAGGAGCAAACCGGAGACTTTCTGAATATTTCAAATTTGAGAAGAATAAATTCAGGCAGAAGAAGAGAAGAAGACAAGAAGGTTTTTATACCCCGCTTTTCTCTACCTTAAGGAGTCTCAAAGCGGCTTACAACTGCCTTCCTTTCCTCTCCGCACAACAGTCACCTTGTGAGGTAGGTGGGGCTGAGAGAGTTCTGAGAGAACTGTGACTGGCCCAAGGTCACCCAACAGGTTTCATGTGGAAGAGGAGTGGGGACTAAAACCTTAGCTCTCCAGATCAGAGTCCGTCCCTCTTAATCACTACACCACACTGAGGGGCTATATGAAGATTCTCAGAAGAATATCTGCAATCAGTGTTTTAGATAAACATTGATACTTGAAGCTTCAAGAGATTCAAACGAAGACTGAGTGTGGATACAATTAACTGGAATAATTAATGTGTCTTTCTTTGAATTTAAAAAATCACATCTGTCTCTGTTTTTAATGTTCATTTAAAAAAAAATTAGGTTTTTTTTTACAGAGATAAAAGAGGGGGGGGGGACAACAGGCAGCATTCTAATCAATTACTCTGTAAGAAATAAACCAGCTTCTAAACATTATTAAAACAGACAACTTTAACTCTGACTACTTGCATTTGAGTGTTTTCTGATTTACATTGACATAACGCCCCATTCTTTGGTCCCCTTCTGCCCCTGCAGCAACATACAGGCCCGTCTCCTCCCCAGACAGCAGAGAATTAATGCAAATGTTTCAACTGAAGTTAGTGCTCCATTCAGACATCACAGCAAACAGAGGTTTGTGCATGATGATCACGGACACAGCTAGGTGCCATGCTAATGTGCTCCCCCTCACTCCTCACCCACTTCTTGCCTTAGGTACAAAGTATGATTGAAAAGCTTCCAGAGTCATAAAGCCTTGAATCAAATTCCAGTTCACTGTGATGTCTGAATGTCCTGGGCAACTCTGGCTTTGTATCCTCCTCAGAAACCAGGGTTCTCAAATGGGATTAAACTGAAGTTCAGGCTCCTGGTTTGTAGGGGCAGAACAAATTCTACTTTGCCCAGGCCCCTGCATGGGGAACTGGAACTTGATTTGAGGTTCCCCAACCCTTGAAGCCTTCAATCATTCTCCATGTGTGACGGTAGATAAGAGATTGGATGTATACCCCGCCATTCACTACCCGAAGGAGTCTCAGAGTGGCTGACAATTTCCTCAGAGTGGCTTACAATCTCGAGAGCCAGTTTGGTGTAGTGGTTAAGTGTGCGGACTCTAATCTGGGAGAACCGGGTTTGATTCCCCACTCCTCCACTTGCACCTGCTGATGTGACCTTGGGTCAGTCACAAGCTCTGGCACAGCTGTCCTTGAAAAAGAGCAGTTTGTGTCAGAGTTCTCCCAGCCCCACCCACCTCACAGGGTGTCTGTTGTGGGGAGGGGAAGGGAAAGGAGTTTGTAAGCCGCTCTGAGACTCCAAGTGAAGGGCAGGATATAAATCCAATATCTTCTCTTCTTCTTCTTCCTTTCCCCTCCCCTCCCTACAACAGACACCCTGTGAAGTAGGTGGGGCTAAGAGACGTCTCTCGAGGACTGCTCTTGAGACAACAGCTCTGAAAGAACTTATGACTGACCCAAAATCACACCAGCAGCTGCATGAGGAGGAGTGGGGAATCAAACCCAGTTCTCCCAGATTAGAGTCCACACTCCTAACCACTACAGTGGCTCTCCTCTGGTAGGAGGTGGGAGGAGAAAGAGGAGCATGTGAGCATGGGAACAAGCTATAAGCACTTGGCTTGTTGTGATGTTTGAATGTGCCTGGTATGATCCTTATGTGTGCCAAGGCTCCTGATATTTGCATTCAACCATACCTGTGTCCAAGTTCATGGGCAATTGTGAATGCCAAAGGTAAGCCGGAGTCTTCGTTGATATTGCAGCTCCGGTGAGGTTGACACATTCCAGAGAGATGCGACAAGCCTAAGGTTTCACATGGACGGTTCATGCCAGCACAAATGTCTTTTCTGTGATTAGATCAAAAGCCTTGAGATTAAAAGAGCTTTAATCACCTTGGGTCACATCATGCTTTCCTGGCTGGCCAATCCTTGTGTGTGGCGCACCTAAAGAGAAAAGTGGTACGGGCTCCATGCAGTAAGGGCCAATTCACATGATTGATGGGTGGATTGACTTCATTTATAATCTTTCCCCATTTTTTTTAACAGGGCACTAGTGGAGCACACGTCACAGGTGCATGGTGGACGAAAGAGGCACCTGTCCTAGCACACAAAGCTTATAGTCAGACACCCAGTAAATGCCTGGGCGCTTCAGTGATACAGCAGCCTCACTGAAGGTAAGCAGGCTGGGAGTGGACCATGTCGAGAGAGGAGACCTCTAGGGAACCCTAAGTACTTTTGAGTGGGCTCTTTTTGTAGAAAAAGCCCAGCAGGAACTCATTAGCATAATAGGCCACACCCAACAGCAGGAACTCATTAGCATATTGGGCCACACCCCTGATAGCACAGCTCATTAGCACATTAGGACACACCCCCATGTTACCAGAAGTGTGGTCATCCAGCCACACCCACCTTTTGCTTCTTATTCTGTTTACCTTGTTTGTTGTCAAAACCCAGGGTTTTTTTGTAGCAGGAACTCCTTTGCATGTTAGGCCACACACCCCTAATGTAGCCAAACCTAATGAGTTTCTGCTGTTGAGTGTGGCCTATTATGCTAATAAGTTCCTGCTGGGCGTGGCCAACTTGGGAGCCAGCCGGAACTCTGTTCCTGTGCCCAAAATAGCCCTGCTGTTATGGAACGTTTAATCAAATAAAGGAGAGACATGGATCTTGCGTTAGCATTCACAGCGCTTCCAACTTTAGAAAACTCGGCTCAGTAACAGCCGGCCACCTTAAACCTCAAAATATCTGGAGTTACACATTTGCTATGGCCAATGTACGTTCCTTGAAATTGCTCAGAAAAGCAACAAATAAACAAACAAACATTTTGCACCTTAAAGTGAGGTTTGCTGTTTAACTTGAAGTATGCATTGCAGGAATGTTTTCCCAGACTTACATTGCCTCCTCTGAGTAAGGCTTTTACAAAACTGTATTTCCAAATTACACCACCGATATGTTTAGATTTGTGTTCACAAAAATCAGCAGCAGTGTATGCATGGGGGAAATTATGTGTATGATACAGTGTTCAATATCTGTTTTGTGATTTAAGGATTCTGGTACCATTTTGGAATTCGCTGGTGGATTTTAACAAATGTTATTTAGAAAAAAAGGATTTTTACTTCACAGAAACTGAGAAAACTAGGGTGCATCTTTTGCTTTAACCTGTCAAGGTGATCGCTTGCTGCAGAACTGTCATGTCAAGAAGATGGTAAGTTTTTTCTTATTTGCAATCACCTTTTTTATCATACCTCTTGGATTTGTTGTGCAGAATCTTACCTGGATTTTATTTTCCTGTCATAGGCCCCTGCCACACGGCAGGGGAAAAGCCTCTAAAGGCGCGGCTTTTAAAAGCCGCACCAACGTTGAGACGCCGCGGTGGGATCCCACGGATCCCCTGGCCGCGGCACCTTTTCTCCCCGGCACGATCAAACGCCGGGGAGAAAACACGGCCCTGACCGGGAGCCGGCCAAACTGCGCATGTCGGAGCATGCGCAGTTCGGCTACGGGCCGGGGCTGTGCCGCGCAAGGACGCGCCGGCGATCAAACGCCCGGCTTGCCGCGCCGCTTCCCCTTGAACCACCAAGGTAGGTGGTTGCAAGTTGAGGCGGATTTTCGCGGGGAAGGGCCTGTTCGGGGGTGGAAGCACGATGCTTCCCAGATGTTGTGGTGTGATCGCGCCGGTTTGATCCGCCCCTGAACTGTCCCGCTCCCGGCCCAAATCGCCTAGTGTGAACAGGACCATAGACTTCTTTTTTTGTATCTGAGTTTTTGGTTTCGTCACAGAAAGTTTAAATAAGGCTGGAAATTCGGACACAATCAAATTAAAAAAACCAACAACACCTGGAATCGGAATTTTTAAATTCTGAAATAATACTGACACTGAAGTGCACATGCCTAATTGTTTGCTGGATTCAAAACACTGACCTCAAAGTTTGATTACGATAGGTTTGATTGCTGATCTCAGAGTTTGATTACAAAATTCACTCCATTGTTCCATTCGTTCTACACACCTTCTCATTCTACACACCTGAACTATTCCACACCAGGCATCAAAAAATTACCAGCATTACAGTGCCATCTGAAGCGGGCTTGGGGCCTGGCGACTCTACCCTGCAGTCTTGCTTCTTCCAGTTAACGCATTGTTAATCTCCCCTTCTCTACTACTAGAAACGCAACTGTGAAAAGTTATCTGTCTAGATGATGGAATATGATGTGGCATGGGACAACCCTGCTCTTTCTCAGACACCAGTTCACACTTTCTCTGAGGCAGCTGCATTGGTATGGAGTATTCCATGTACTAAGCTGTCTAGAGCCCCACCCACTTTTAAGTAGCTTTAGGCTGTGGTCACACACACTAAATAATCCACTTTCAATCCACTTTCTGTAGGGCAGTGCAGATGGATTCTCCTGCCTGGAGATTGGGAACCCAAAGGCATTTGTGTGCTAACAGCATGAGAAGTCTGGTGAATGCTACCGCAGTTAGTGTGACCTTGAGGAGGGGAAGGAACTGATAACAGAGAGCTCACACACACAGACACACACATTCCAAAAGGATGCTAGAATGCTTGGAACTTTCCTCTACGCAGAGAGAAGGAGGGAGAGAGAGGAGGGGGAGGAAATGGGGGAAAACTGAGTTTATAAATAAATGCTGGGAAACCGAGAGGTTTCAGATCAGCTTCCTGCAGACTTGTGTCCTGTCGTCTTTGCATCGCATGCACCCCTGCACCCCACACCCCAACGAGTGACCCCACAACTTTCCAACTGGATTTTGCCAGTTCACACAAGTAAAAATCCAGTTGGAAAGTACACTGAAAGTGGAATGAAAGTGGATTATTTAGTGCGTGGGATTGCAGCCTTACATGATCAATCACTGTACTTATGAGTAACACATTTGAATTGAGATTCCCCAGAGTGACTTTGGACCCAAGAAGGAAACACTGTACAGGCCTCATTCATAGTCACACAGACTCTTGTCTTTTTGAGGATACGCAGAAGCAGCATAAATGCCTCCTGTATGTTCTGTATACCCTATTACTTCAGCCAAATTTTGCCCCCTCTGTGCCAGTTTCTTTCGTTCTCTGGGCCTAGTTTGGTACATGGGCTAGTTTTCATTCTGTGCACACCTCTTTTTTTTTTTTTTAAAAAAAACCTATATATTGTTTTCAGAGGCTGAATCATTATTCCCTAAATTAGAATAAGCCAGTAACACATGGCAGCATCTAAAAAAACTTGGCAAACTGAATCACAGACTCCTGATCATTATGGCACTATTCAAAAGCATGCAATTATCGTAACAAGTGCCGTTGTTGAGGAAGTCACAAGCAATAAAGCCCTGTGATTTTGTTGCAAGCAGACTGTAACATTAACGACCAATAATATTTGGTTTTGTGTTTGTTCTCTTGGGAAGGGAGTTGGGTGAGAGATTTTTAAAAAGCCGTTTCTAAAAGTGTCCGCATTTCGTTTGGCACAATAGCTCAGGTCCTGACTCACAAAACGCTTCTCGGTATAAAATCAGTGTGATTATCATTACGGACAGCCTGTTACATGAGTCGCTTGTTACAATAGCTAAGAATGCTAATAAACAAAGGAGTGATGAGTGATGATGCTAGCCTTTTCCTCCCCTGGTTGCATTGCTGTTGATGAGATCAGATCATGAGGTTATTAGATTTAGGGCATGGCAAAAAGGGGACAGAATTCATCAATCAATGCACGGCTATATTTCAACTGGAAAGCATCAGGCTGCTGACTCACATTCAGCTCGTGATGGGGAGAGCAGCTATTTTACTGTTTCCCCTTGTGCCGTTTTCCCACCAAAAGCTAGGGTTGCCAAGATGATCTTCGCTGGGAGCGGGGGGCTCCTGGCCAGCGTCTGGTGTGTGTGTGTGCGCACTTCGCACGCACGTGCGTCACCTGGAAGTGACGGGAGGATGCTGGGCACTCTGGGGGCGGGGACATGGCCATACAAGGGAAAACCATAGAGTTTTCCCTTGTATGGCCGTGGCCCCGCCCCCAGCGTGCCCGGTGTCCTCCCGTCACTTCCGGGTGACGTGCGTGTGGCGCGCACGCACCAGATGCTGGCCCGGAGGTCCCCGCCCCCCGCGCAGCACTGCCTCTGGGGCGGGGGTTTCCCCGCCTCCCGGGGGGACTTGGGATCCCTACCAAAAGCTGTCAATTTAGTGCATTTTTAGGCCATTTTAGGTGTACATCTTCTCCGTTTCCTTAACAGCCCTGTAAGGTCGGCCAGGCTAACTTACAAAAATATATATCACTGTGTACAATAAATATATGTCTGTGGTAGAACAATTTTGTGCTTTATTCTTTTTCTTTTTCTATTTTTCAATACTGTTGTCTAAATATTGGTATCAAATATTATCAAAAATATATTTCACCCAAACAATACACAGAGACAGCACCTTGTCAGTATCACTGCACTCTGTATTGTTTGGGTGAAACATATTTTTCTTGTACACAGTGATATATATTTTTGTATGTTTTCCTAACACTGTGACCTTCAATTTTTGTATTTAACAGAGACTGATTTCCCACAAGCACTGCTCCCCGCTCGCTCTTCCCTTTTGCCTCGATGGTACGTGTTAATTTCACATAAGCTGCTGTGCGGCCGCATTTTGCCCCACAGCTTCGTGTGATTTTCCCGCGTATACTCAATCCTGTTTTTTGAGGATTGCGTAAACGCGGGGGAAATTGCACGAAGCTGCGGGGCAAAATGCGGCCGTGTCCCCAGGACACACACACAGGCAGACACTGGGGCCAGACTGCCCCCCCCCCCCAATATTTTGAAATACAGTCCTCGGGGAAACCCTGCGAACAGAAGCTTGTAACATTAGAACCGGTGTTTGGACCGGGCATCACTATATATCACCTTGTAGGGCACAGTCTCCAGAGTGTGGAGATGTGTCATTTGGGGTGGTCCAAATATTTTTTTTGGGGGGGCAGTCTGGCCCCAGTGTCTGCCTGTGTGTTTGTCCTGGGGGGCACCGCACTTGGAGCAACTGGTACCGGAACCGCGCTTTGGACCAGCACACAGAATGTGTCCCCTCGAAGGGGAGGGTCCGCTGAAGACAGGGGTGTATGAAGTGTGGGGGTCCAAACCTTATTTTGGGTGCAGGGGGCACTTCCTTATTCAAATCTCCTTTGAAATGCAGGCCTCAGGGAAGCCCTGCGAACAGAAGCTCATGGCATCAGAACCAGTATTTGGACCGGGCATCACTATATATCACCTTGTAGGGCACAGTCTCCAGAGTGTGGAGATGTGTCATTTGGGGTGGTCCAAATATTTTTTTTGGGGGGGCAGTCTGGCCCCAGTGTCTGCTTGTGTGATTGTCCTAGGGGCACTGCACTTTGGAGCAGCTGGCACCAGAACTGTGCTTTGGACCAGGATACAGCATATGTTACCTCGAAGGGGAGAGTCCTGTGAATGTGGGAGTATATAAGTAACGAATAAGGAATGAATAAGGAAGTGCGAATAAGGAACCAACTTCAGCCTCCTATAATTCTGAGGGAAAAGTGTTGGCGACTCTGCCCATCAGGAGCTTGAGCTGAGCCAGTAAGTATCCCCTGCTGCTGTCAGTCAGGAGGATGTTGGTTCCACTGTCCTGACCTCTGGCCAGCCTGTCAGCTAAGCTATTATTCTCCCCGGGAGTCTGTGGAGAAGCAGTAGGACAAGAATTAATGGGCTCTATACTGGCTAAGAAGAGCAGATCCCTTCTTCTGAAGACAATGACCCCATTAATGGGAGTGCAGGTCAGACCCATTGCACTGAAAACGTTTCTGATCCTGGGATTCTATTTGCACAGACCCCTGCTACTTCTTTGGTAGGGAGAAGGGCCCGGCCATTTTCAACATTATGTATTATGCTGTAACAAAAACGGGGGACAGAATTTCCCTCCCTAAAATAAATAAATCCTGTTTGCCGACTCTGATGTACCCCCCCCCCCCCCAATTCGGACATGAGGCTTGGCTCAATTGCTAGCTACCATTCCCCCTTAACAAAAGGCTTGGACTTTAAATGTATGTATTCAAGCACAGCGAAAGCTTTGTTATCTGACATTTGGTTATCCAGGGTCCCTGCCACACGGCAGGGAAAAAGACGGTTGAACTGCGGCTAATCAGATGCCGGGGAGAATGCAACGGTGGAAAGGGGAACCTGGTGAACTGCGCATGCTCACGCATGCGCAGTTCGGCCAGGAGCCGGGGATGCGCCGGCGCAAGGACGCGCCGGCGATCCCACGCCTGCACTTGCCGCGGCCCAATAGAAAGAACCACCCAGGTAGGTGGTTGTTTTTTGGTGCGCTGTATGGGCGAGATGGGACGGATCGGGGACGGTAGCACGACGTTCCCCAGATGTTGCTGTGGGATCACACCCGTTTGCTCCGGTCCAGATCCGTCCTTCTCCCAGCCCAAACGGTTCGTATGAACAGGGTCACTAACACTCAGTTATTTAGGCACAGTGGGAGGTGAGGCATAGAATTTCCTGCACTCGTCCAGTGACCCTTGGAGTTCCTTCCAGCTCGATGTTTCTGTTTCTCAAAAGGCATCACATTCAGCTACTATGTCCCCTGCCTGTTCCAGAGTGCACACACCCCACTCTCATCTCTACAGCTGACTAGCTGGATGCCTCCAGACATTACTGGGCTTTCAAAGGCCAATGCTGCAAGATGACATCATCCTTGGGCATCTCCTTCCCATTCCACCTGCTTTGGGCTGTCAGTTGGCCTGCTTGTCTGCCTGCTGTATAGGATGGCTCCATGACTCAGGGGAACGTTCCCCCGAGGCTTGCGGGCTGGGGCCATGGTGTTCCTTCAAAATGAGATGGGATTTGGTTGCAGAGGATTCCTCTCTGTAGGTGGTGTGGCGGAACAATATGTTTGAGCATCTAGCATGCTTGATTAACCAGCAACCAATGCTCCCTCTAAACGGTGGAGTCTTGTGAGCAAAGATGCTACTTTGTGAGCTACTGGCATTAAAGTTGTGAGTGAGTGATTTGGCTGCTGCATAAATCAGTTTGCTCTGGGGCCATCCTTCCTGAGCCGAGACAAAAAACGTGTGAGCCAGAGGCTAAAAAACTGTGAGCTAGCTCACACTAACTCAGCTTAGAGGTAACACTGCCAGCAAAAAAACGACGACAACCCCATTCCCCATTAATATTGGATAACAAAGCTTTTTTTTCTGTATTGCAAATCTACATTGAACTGTCATTGTACAATGGTGCCATTTGAGAAAGGCAGGGGAGTTTCATGTTTCACTTCCCATTACTTTGGCCCTCATTGATTCTACGTGTGTGTGTTGCCGCCATCAAGTTGCTTCCAACTTATGGAGACCCTATGAATCAATTACCTCCAAAATGACCTATCGGGATTACTGCAATGCAGGGCTTCCATTTGTCTCTGTCTCCCCCCCCCTGTCGGCAAGAAGGTTGCTATCAGCTTCAGGAGACTGCTAAGAGCAGGTTGACATGTATAAAGGGATTTGTGTGTTTCCCACTTAGGAAAGATCTCAGAACTTGGGCTGATGATGAGAAGGAGGGTGGGAAGGGTTGCATCAGTTCTTACATGCCCAAGGAAATGCTAATTGCCACTTTGGGGTCAGGCAGCAATTCTTCTCCAGGCCAGTTTGGCTGGAGATCCTGGAGGTTTTTTGCCATCTTCTGGGCATGGAGCAGGGGTCACTGGGTGTGTGTGTGTGTGGGGGGGAGTATTTCTGAATTTCCTGCATTGTGCAGGGGGTTGGACTAGATGGCCCTGGAGGTCCCTTCCAACTCTATGACTCTATGATCACATTATTGTGTGTGTGTGTGTGTGTGTTTGTGTGTGTGTGTGTGTGTGTGTGTGAAGTGCCATCAAGTCGCTTCTGACGTATGGTGACTCTATGAATTAATGACCTCAAAAATGTCCAATCGTTAACAGCCTTGGGTTCTGCGTAGTGAATGGCTACTGCTAATGAAATGGGACAGCAGATAAGCACATCAAAAGCACAAATCCCTTTGCTTGTTGTTTTTTTTAAGTGATAAATATTTGGTCTGTTCTGATAACATTCTTTAACACAGAGAGGCATAAAAAGTAACTGCAGCAAAGGATCTTAAAAAGCACACTTTCTTTTACCATATAATCAAGATCTATTTCTCTCCCTTCAAGAGCGCACCTTGATATTTTTGCTAAGAATCTCGTTCCCACCACCAAAATCTCTGTGTCCTTTGCTAGAGTAGAATCCATGTCTCAATCACTGCATCCATACCTGGTTAGGAGAACAGCCACATCATGATGGAGCGCGTTGGCGTCACTTTTGGGGTTGATGCTCTTCTGCCATTTACAGAAGCTGGCTAGTGTCTTATCTGCATGGTGAACTATTTTCAGTCCTCGCTAAAGAGAGGGAAAGAAAATAGCATTACAAATGCAGCAATATATTTGCTAGAAGAACTCTATGTCAGACTAAATTACCAACTCCAGTGAAGTCATTGAATTGTAACAGATTATACTTTTGCCCGAAGCAAGAAACATCATTACGATAACTTTCAGGAGTCAATAAACAGCTAAGATTAAACTGGCACTACTGAAGATACTAAGCCAAAAAATAAAATAAAATTGGGGAACATAACATATTAAGAGACCATAGAACTTTTACAGAAAATAGCTAAAATATTTGTAAACGCTAAAGTGATGTTTAATTAACTCTTCCTTCTCCCTCCCCCTCTTTTTTGCTCTGAGTTCCCTTTCCTCCTGCCCAGAAAAGGCAGGACAAATAATATTATAGGAAAATCACCATCTTGGATCTTTTATTCTGTATTGTAATTTTTATTAAGTTATACATTGAATTTTAATATTTTAATATATTTTATGGCATCATGCCTTGTACATCGACCAGAGATAGGGCAATTAATAAACAACTACTACTGCTGCTGCTGCTGCTGCTGCTGCTACTACTACTATTTCTTCCATTGGTTTTCTACTTTGAAACGGCTTTGAATCATGACAGGGTTAAATAGATTTAACACTCTGAGAACAGTGAGGCTGATCTGGAATCACCTTTCCTACACTCAGTCCAAACGCTGGTTTCACAAAACATCAACAAGGAAATCCCCCCTGTTCATATACAGAGCAATTTTGTACTTCTAAAGGAGGTCTCATTTTCTTCATTAACAGGGCAACAAATGAATCAATAAATGTACATACGGCATGTAACCACATGTAAGAAAAAGTGGGCGTTCCACGAAGTAGGGAGTTGGGAAAAGATTGAGAACTGAACCAGGATTTCATTTCCTACTACGTATGTCTTATCAAAAAGGATATATAAAAAAGGGATATTGCAGAGCTGGAAAAAGGGGAGCAGAGGGCAAGCATGATGATTAAGGGGTTGGAGAACCTTCCTGGGAGGAAAGGCTAAATAGGCGTTTTTAAACTTTTCAGTTTAGGGGGAAATTATAACTGAAGGGGGAATCGATGGACAGCAGATATGCATGTCAAAAGCACAGGTGCAGAACGGACAATGGGAAATACCACTTTACACAGAGAGTGATTAAAATTCGCTACCAGAGGATTTAGTGATGGCCACAGGAATAAACATGTTTTAAAAAAAGATTAGATAGATTCATGGAGGATTATAAATGGTTATTAGCCATGGTGGCTGAGGGGAACCTCCGCATTCAGAGGCACTAAGCCTCTGAATCCCAAAGGCAGGAGGCAACATCAGGGGAAGGCCTTGGCCTCTATGCCCCGTTGTTGGCTGTCTAGAGGAACTGATTGGCCACTGTGTGAGACAGGATGCTGGACTAGATGGACCACTGGTCTGATCCAGCAGGGCTCTTCTTATCTTCTTATGCTCTTAATCCCTTTGCTTTTTAAAAAGTGATTAATATTTGACACTGTTTTGGGCTGGGAAGGCAACATGGAGGAATTCCAAGTAAATTCACTTTTTTCTAAATGGCCCATATGTTGTCCTTTTTGGTTGAAAGTTAAAAAATTTAAAAGGCATCACAAAGTTAACAGAGACAGAGCACTAAAGCGTAGGTGAGTGCACTGAAATGTTGTCTTCTTCCCCTACTGTCTGTCTTGTGGACAGACCTTAAAGCCAAAAGTTTCTGTCATGCCTGCGGCTCTTGAAAATGCCTGTATGTCTGAACAAAGCTAAGCAAGCCTGTATGCATTCAGATGTTGGCTTTAGCTGTTCACAATTCATTTCGGTTGAGGCCAGTAAGTGTAGCATCACACTTTTAAAAAAACAGTTGGATCCTTATTCTGAATTGGCCACCTTATTTTTAAAAGGTTCCTTCTAGTTTGGGGTCAACCCAGACCTTGAAAGTCTGGTACAGGTTAAGTCTGACAACTCACAATCCAGAGATTTGTCCTGTACCTTTAAATTCATCCGTTGTGTCCAATTACACATTAAAAAGTACACATTAAAAATTACACATTAAAAAGAAGATAAGAAGAGCCCTGCTGGATCAGACCAGTGGTCCATCTAGTCCAGTATCCTGTCTCACACAGTGGCCAAAAATAGGGCATAGAGGCCGAGGCCTTCCCCTGATGTTTCCTCCTGGCACTGATATTCAGAGGTTTACTGCATCTGAATGTGGAGATTCCCTTTAGTCACCATGGCTAGTGGCCACAGACAGACTCGTCCTCCATTAATCTGTCTAATCGCCTTTTAAAGCTGTCTATGCATGGAGCCATCACAACATCCTCTGGCAGCGAATTGCACAGTTTAATCAGTCATTGTGTAAAGAAACATTTTCTTTTTTTCATCCCGGATCTACTTCCCATTGAGAATATCAACCTGTGTGCTGTGTAACAGTTAGACATGATTTACAAATTCTGATCAACCCAATATGGATCGCTACTGTGATTCATATAGAGAAGGAGCTTCACCTTTTCCCTACACTGTTTTCCTGACCTGAAATGATTCAAGGGGGCATTTTTCGGTCCATTGAGAAAGCCTATGTGTATAGTCATGGCTGACTCATGGTTCTTTCACCTTCCCTCACCAATAATGTGGCATACCTGGAATCCTGCCTGTCATTGGAGGGGAGGGGTGATGAAACTGGGAGAAAGATAAGTGGGAGTTAAGTTTAAATTTTGGGGGACTTTTGATCTCTTTTTTACATTCAGCTGCAAGTGGAATTCAAACAGAAATTCCACATGATGCTTCATGCATCACCATTCTCAATAAAAAATTCACCCCCATAGGAAAGAGCCTAGTATGTGTCTGTGACACCCCTTTCTCACTTACACAGAGAAGAAGTTAACTTTTATTTATGGTTTGAACACAACTCTGAAGAAAGTCAGGTAGAGGTTTTTGTTGTTGTTGTTCAGTCACACAGTCGAGTCCGACTCTTCGCGACCCCATGGACCAGATCACGCCAGGCCTTCCGGTCTTCCGCCATCCTCTGAAGTTTAATGAACTTCATGTTCGTTGCATCTTTGACCTTACAAGGTTCTTTTCCATTAAACTTTTGAACTGTTCCCCTATTTCATCACTTAGGATCTTTTGTTACAAATTAACTCTTTCTTTCAGTCAGCTTTAAGCTGCTCTTTACCACGGCTTCCCTCAGCCAGACACGCTCTCAACTCTTCAACTGCACTCCTTGACACTCTTAACTGCTGTTTTCAACTCTCTCTCTCACTAATGATCCATCAGCTCCCATTGGCTGCTCTTAGGGAGACCTAACCTGTATGTCGCAGTGTCTTCTTAGAAGTAAGTCCCCTTCTGCTCCGGATTCTCAATAGAAATGCATCCCCGCAAGAAAGAGCCTACTATGTGTTTACTTAGAAGTAAGTCACCTTTAGCACTGGCATCACTTTTCCCTGCATTCTTCCATTTGTTCCTTTGTTTTTAGTTCCATTAATTGCTTCTTTTTCCTTCCTGATTAGTAGACTTTCTTTAGGCATGTGTGAATAAATACTTAATGGTTAGCTCTCATTTCCTCCGAGGGAGGAGGGCTTAAGTAATGATTTTTACATAGTGGCAAGCCAAAGTCATTGCTCATCATTTTTCTTCACAATCATAACAGCACAATTATAACATAATGATCATGATTGCTTTTTTTAAATCAGTAGGTTTAGCTAACTACAGTGCAAAATGGTAATCAGAGCACCTGCTAGCTGCAGGAGAGAACAGGAAGTAATTAATTAAACTGGAAGGAGAAGGAAAAGATGCAATATTAAAAGAGGAGTAGCAGTAGGAAGACTAAATAGTCCTTTAACAGTCCATGCAGGACAGACCGGCACTGGGGTTACATTTTACATTTAAACACTACCACAAACAGAGTGTCTGAAAAAAATTAGAAATGCAACAGAAAAAAAAAACTGGAATGCAACAAGTTAAGTATGATGTCTTCTGGATTGTCCATACAAAAGGAAAGAACAGATTATGGCAATCCCAGCCTAAATGGTTACTGTGGTAACAACCAGAATATAGAAGAGGAATCTCGTGCTGTGTCCGCAGTAGTGAATTCCCCACACTGACATTTTTTAAATTGCGTGTTATGTGAAATTTTTTGCAGTAGATTTTTCCTCACCAGGCACAAACCCAGAATCCCCAGTTTTAGCGAGTTCTGAAAACACGGGGTAAGAAGGAGAAAACTTCAGGCTTGCGCCTGGTGAGGAAAAATCTACTGCAAATTTTTTTACATAATGTGCACTTTTTAAAAGGCCAATGTGGAGATTTTCACTACTGTGGAAATGGTCTCTGAGTTGCAAACTGGCAACCTTCATTCAGCTTCTGTTGTGGTTCAGAGAAAAATAATAAAATGTGCAGTTTTAGATTTGGGCCTCATTTGTCTTTTCTGACATGCCAATGCAGACAAGAGAACCCTGAGGTTAAGGCAAAATCATCTGTCTAACATGTTAATCATCAAAATGGTAATTGTCATGGTAAAAATTCAGTTCCAATCTGGTAGTCAGGTATTGTTCCCATATTTAAATTACAGCATGAAGATATGACCTTGAAGAATCCATTTCAGGTATCTAGGCATGTAACAACAATTAAAGAGAAGAATTTTATCGCTAGAAAATCATGTAAGACAAATAGTTCTATGTTCTTATTGGATTCCTTAGGCTGCAATCCTAAAAAACACCTTCCAGGGAGTAAGCCCCAATAAAACGGGACTTCTGAGTGAACCTGCCTAGAATTGCTCTAGGGGGGAGAAAAGCAGGATAAAATTAATAAACACACAAAAGACATTCTCCAGCTCTTCCCCTTTCATCCTTCACTAAAATTTGTCTGGCCCAATGAAATAATTCCATACAAGAGAGACTGGGATCTTACCTCCTCTTCCTCAAGGAGAATAAGGCGAACCAGCACAATATGGATTGCATTACCAATGCTCGGATCATGGAACAAGCCTGACACCTGGGCCAAAGCCAGACAACAGGAAGTTAATGGATTCGTCTGCAGCAAGAGGCTCCAAACAGTGATGATGATGATCATCTCTTACCACAGCGCCAAGAGAATATGTGACCCTTTGCCAAGTTACATAAAGGATAGGTCTTTGCCTATAGGGACTTACAGTCTAAGTTTAGACAGGGGAAGGGAGACCAGAACAAAGGAGGGAAGGAACAAAGGGAGGAGAGGGAGAGGGAAGGGTAATAAACCACCACAATGAGAGAAGGAATGGAAGATGTGAGATCATGAGGGAGAAATATGAGCAAATGCAGTTTTGACTGAGGGATGAGGAGGCCAATCCAAATTAAGGCACTAGCAGAGGTCATTTCGGGGGGGATCACGGGGGATCGCAGTTCCCCCGGGTGAGGTACGAGGGGGGCACATGACGAAGCCCCACCCCCTGCTTCCGGCCGCCCCGCTTCCGGCCCTCATTCAGCTAGGAGGAGGCAGGAAAAGAGGGAGGGTAAGTTGCTTCCTCCCTGCCTCTCCCCACCCCTGCCTGCCTGGGGCCAGGGAGGGCCTTCGTGGGGCTTCCTTGCACTCCCGCCGGCCTTGCAGGTCCACCGCCGGGCCCCTCATGGGGCTCGGCAGTGGAGCTGCAAGGCCGCCAGCGGCAGCCGGGACCGTTGGGGGCGGGGTGTGTGGCCTTATGACACACTTCCGGTGACGTCAGGGGGTGTGGCCTTATGACACACTTCCGGTGATGTCAGGGGGTGTGGCATATGCTAATGAGTTATGCTAATGAGTTCCCCTAGCTCTTTTCCTACGAAACGACCCCTGGGCACTAGTAACATTGTGTAAATATATTCTTGGGGTTGTGGGAAGATCGCGATAGAACTTTCCCTATTCATCCTACCTGTAGTTTCTTGTTTTTTCTAAGGCAACCCTAGTGTGAGGAACCATCCTGCCCCAAAGATATACGCCTCCACCTCCTCTCCTGTTTCATACTGTTTCCCAGACTGATGCCTGTTTTGGATATAAATGCCATAAAATGATTTTAAAATGCCATTATAATGTTGTATTAATGGGACAAAAGAAATGAATGAATGTCAAACAAGAAAAGAACATAGGTGGGATTGAAAATGCTTACAACAAATACATATGAAAATTGAAAGTAATGAAAATGGCACATTCGTATGTCCCTAATCATCATGTCTGGAAGCTAATATAGGTCATCACTCAGAGTATTTTTTAAACAAAGGGATTTTTTTTATTAATCATAGGGATACAAAGACATACATGCTAGTTAACTAATGCAACTTAGGTGGCTCGGTAAGTCAGGGGTCCTGAATATTGCTAAGACAGTGGGTGCTTGATAATTCTGAGGGTGGGGAGTAGGTGCTACCACCAGGGGTCATTTCGTAGAAAAAGAGCTAGGGGAACTCATTAGCATAATTCATTAGCATATGCCACACCCCCTGACATCAGGGGCCCGGTGGTGGACCTGCAAGGCCAGCGGGAGTGCGAGGAAGCCCTGCCAAGGCCCTCCCTGGCCCCAGGCAGGGGTGGGGAGAGGCGGGGAGGAAGCAACATACCCTCCCTCTTCTCCTGCCTCCTCCTGGCTGAATGAGGGCCGGAAGCGGGGTGGCCGGAAGCGGGGGGCGGGGCTTCGCCCTGTGCCCCGCCCCCCTGCACCTCACCTGGGGGAACTGCGTTCCCCCGCGTTCCCTCCCGAAATGACCTCTGGCTACCACAAAACAGCTTCCATGGGAGCCAGTCATAAAATGTTGGTAGACTGCAAGCAAACCACCTTCCTACAATGGATGCAGAATAGAAATGGGCTCGAACCGAAAACTAACTGAATTCTTACTCGAACCAGGGCAGTTTGTGGTTTGTTTTGACCAGGTTCTCTTCATTGCTCTGTTCCCGAACCAACGAACCACCATTTTGGGGTGGTTTGTTAGAGCAGTTTGCTGGCCAGACAGCCTGGTGCCCATTCGGACAATTCCTAGTCAACACTGGGGGTGAACTTGTGGAGAGCCCTAGAAACACCCATATTAGTTGTCCATAGCTTGATTGGCAGCTTTGGCAGCCAACCACGGAGCTCCCATTTTGCTGTATGGGAGCAGATTGTACCACACCCTGACTCAGCATCATCATTATTTATTACGGTCAAAGACCCATCAAACAGCATTACAGGATCAAAAAAGCAAACCCAGGTTACCGAAACATTACAGAGAGGAGACATCATAAATAGTATTAAGGAGGAGCTTGCGCTTTGCAAATGCAATAAAAAGAAATTTAGCAACATTCCTTGATATTGCAATGGATTTGTCCTCCAATAGATATTTCAGCACAAGTTCCTCAGAATGAATTGCTAGTTGTCCTTGGACCCTAAGTGACCTTAATATAGGTGTAATTAAGAGGGCTCTTTCTTCTGCATAATAAGAGCAATAAAATAAAATATGGGGGAGGGTCTCTATTGACTCAGAGGAGCATGAACAAAGTCTCAAATGCCTTGGGATACGTTGAAATCTTCCAGAAAGAACTGCCGATGGAAAAGCATCAAATCTGGCTCTGGAGAAAGCCCATCTATGATTTGGGTTGGAGATATTAGCTAAATATTGAGGAGTGGTCATATAAATTTCGGGTTTCAGAGATTTATAGAGCGGCGGAGTTGCGGCGTGAGTCGTTTGCAGCTCAATATCTCTGAGACGTTGAATGACAATAGATTTTGCCCTGACATAGCCGCTTTCCAAAAGTTGGTACGGGTATCATCATCATTATCATTACTATCATTAATAATAATATCCATTTTATTTTTAGATTGTTTTAAATGGTTAGGAAATTTTAAAAAATCATTCTAGATCACTGGTTTGACGTTGGAAGTACATCTTGGAGTATTAAATAAAGATCTCAGGAATTTTGATTGGACTAGTTCTAACGCCTGAAGATTTGTAAATCGCATAATTTGTGTCCCATATCTCATTTGAGCTAAAACTTTAGCAGAAAAGAGTTTCAAGGCAGCTGGAATGAAGTGTGCACCATCCTTTCTGAAAAATCTTAGTATAGCAGAAGCAGTTCTTTCCGCCGAAATAGCCACTGATTTGATGTGAGCTGCAGGGTTACCATTATATGCAAATGTAACCCCTAAGTATTTAAAGAACTTAACTTGCTCGACATCATTCCCATTTACTTTCCAGGTGTATTTTTTTTGCCTCTGATTAAAACACATTATTTTTGTTTTGGAGAAATTAATTGAAAGCAAATTTTCCTGACAGTGGCTAGAGAGGGATGTAAGTGCTCGCTTTAGACCTATTCTGGTCAGAGATAAAAGAACTGTGTCATCTGCATACATAAGAACAGGTACCTTATATTCGAAGTTGAGTTTGGGTGCGTGAACATCGATGTTACGCAGATCGGATATAAGAGAGTTCACATAGAAATTAAACAAAAATGGGGCTAACGGACAGCCCTGTCTAACACCCCTCCTCAGCTGAATAGGTTTGGATAGTCTACCGTCTGAGGAATATTTTACCTGAAGAGTGTTATTGCTTGTGGTTTGTTTTGACCAGGTTCTCTTCATTGCTCTGTTCCCAAACCAACGAACCACCATTTTGGGGTGGTTTGTTAGAGCAGTTTGCTGGCCAGACAGCCTGGTGCCCATTCGGACAATTCCTAGTCAACACTGGGGGTGAACTTGTGGAGAGCCCTAGAAACACCCATATTAGTTGTCCATAGCTTGATTGGCAGCTTTGGCAGCCAACCACGGAGCTCCCATTTTGCTGTATGGGAGCAGATTGTACCACACCCTGACTCAGCTGTTTTCACTTTGCAGCAGGAAGAGAAAGAGAGGAGACGTTAGTCGTGGAGTGAGAGAGAGTTAGGAGAAGATGAATTGCTTGCTGCTGGATGATTCAAGGGGAGGCTTTGAGGGACTCCTCCCCCCCCCCCACATGGTGGGACAATGTTTTAAATGCTTCTCCCGGCTGAGAAAGTGCTCATTGCTGTGGTTCCGGAGTCCTGAGCCACACACTTACTAGCCTCTCTCTGCCAATGCCAGGTGCGGGGGCCCCCTCTTTTTTTAAATTTAAAAATCCAGTCTTCGCCAAACTTTGATGGTGGGTGGAAGAGAGCCTGCTGAAGACTCCCTGTGAGTTTGGTATCACGAAGGGCCAATCTATCACCTCCTGAACTCACAAACTGCGCAAATCATGACGTTCAGCAGACAGAAAAGTTTGTGAAAGTACGTGATTCGTGGAATCGAATGAACCACCACGAACCACCATTTTCTCAGTTTGTGCCCATCCTTAATGCAGAAGTCTCTGAATGGGGCTCCCTGAAGACACAAAGGTGATGCCTTCTGGCTTCTTCTGAAGCACCTCCTATTCCAATTAGGTAGAAGAAAGCCAGGACCAACTGTTTGCTTTGGGGAAGAGATGCTTTCTTGAAGAATCAAATGGGCACCAAGAAACCCACCGGTGGATGCCATGGTGCCTACGGGCACTACATTCCATTCTATTTTGGTGGCCTCATCAAGGAAGGAAAGAGAAGACAAATGAAAGAGAAGGCAAATGCCATGTTATTCCTACTTTCTCTCTGTTCCTGCAGCATCTGTATGTGTCATTTTAGGTGGGGACACGCAAGATTGACTTCCATACCCCAGAAAAGCAGCTGATAGGGGACACCATTATGTCCACTCCAAACAGTCATGCCAGTCATCCTGGAAATGATGAAATGCCTGCATCAAAGAAGAGGCAGGAGTGGAGAGATATGCTATGGTGGATGTGCTGATTTCTGGTGTGAGTGTTTATTTAGGATTCTGCTGGCTGTAAAGGAGTCAGCATCTTGAAAGGTTCGCAAAATGCTGTTAAGCGGGGAAGCTAGAGGTGTGAGGAAATAAGCACTGATTATTTTAAGCTAAAATTCCTTTTTGTCTGTGTTTGATTATTTCGGGGTTTATGATACGTTCTGCAGATGACGTTCTGCAGAGGGCAGTATAGTCAAATGAATATACTGTCTGCCATTATCAGTGCCTTAAGGGAGAAGCTGAGGAACATTCATAAAAGCATTTTGCAAACTCTAGAAATGACCCGGGTATAGTTCAGTTTTAAACCTGACTTAATTGAAAGGAACCACTTTGGAATTATTAACCAGGAGTCCTTTATGTTTTGCTGGCATTCATCTATTTTATTGGCAAAGGATTCATTAAAACACACTATTGACAGTGTTTTTCCGAGGTACTTCAGACGGAGTTTGTTTTACTCTAGACCTAAGATGGGTAGACTGTCTCATGGGGCCCCACATCAAGCCTCCAGGAGCTTTTCATCCAGCTCTCAACCAACAGAGAAGAGCATTAACCCACTGGACCGCAGCATCAGCCTGCTTCCTGAAAAACTGTTAAACAACTTGAGAGCAGAGGGCCCGCTACAGCCATTAACAGCAACTACAGAGGGTCACAGCTTGGTCTGTGTCTCCTTTTGCAGGCTCTGAGTTGCGTGAAACCTGAGCTGAAAAATTTACTTACTCTTGCTCTAGGCAGATGAGGCATTTCTATCAAGTTCTGACCCCAATGGAGGGCACTAGAGACCGAGGAAGTAATATTGTTGTTGGGCCTCCTGACAGGCCCAGCTCTCCATCACCTCAGGCACTGACTTCTGTCCAGCTCTGAAACATCAGAGCCTTGGACCAGAGAGAGCAGGTACTGAATAGCTAGATTCAAGTCCACCATCACCTTAGAGACCAACAAGATTTTGGGGGGTATGAGTTTTCAGGAGTCAAAGCTCCTCTCTTGAAAGTTCATACCCCACAAGATCTTTTTGGTTTCTAAGGTGCTACTGGACTAAAATCTAGCTGTTCTACTGTGGACCAACACAGCGGCCCTCTGAAACAGGTACTGAACCTGGACTATCTACACTGAGGGCAAATGCTCTGAGAGGGGGGGGGCGTGCCCCCCCCCCCCCCCCGAAGCCACTAAATTGTAAACCTTAAAGCTGTGGCGAAACATGATATATTACATAATACATATCTGATGGAGTGAGCTCTGGGTTACCAAAGTTTATGACGCAGTATATTTGTTAGTCTTTATAATGCCCCAAGATAATTTTATTTTGATCACGCACCATGTTTATGATAGTGAGAATATATGATTCCACATTCTCACTTCCGTGATATTCAATCATCTTGCTGTCAGCAACCACCAGAGTCTCCACCCATCGTTCTTTGCTGACAGAGCGCCGGGAGGTTGCTCTGGTTCTCAAGCGGTTTCTTTCCCACTTCTCCCTTCGCAGCTCTTGCTGTCTGAAGAAGCTTAAAGTTTCTGAAACAGATAACAAGAGAGATCAGCTTTATATCCTGCTGCCGTATTATTACGGGTCATGCTATCTGACTGTGTCAAGTGAAATAGCCTTCTATTACTAGATTATTCTATAGCCAGAGGAACAATAGGTTTTCCTTAATGGCCAGTGCCGGACCCCCACACAAGTTTTTACCTAAAAGTCCATTATGGAAGGTAATTGGAGTCACACTCAGGATGGAATGATATATTACCGGTGGGCTATTTAACATTTTTTCCTCACAACTTCTTTTTCAACTAACAATTGCTGCCACAAGCGGCTTTTGCCCCTACTGAGATAAACGTCTGTAGGTTTTCTCCAGCTGAGGTAAAAGTGGTTTAAGAGTGGCAGTTGTTGGTGGGGGAAAGGCCGGAGGGAAAATAATACTTGACCTTTCCCCCCTTGCCAGTCTGTCCCTTTCACTATAGCTCACACAACTGCATGCTGTATTTTAAAACAATGCCAGGAAAAAAAATAATAAATTCTGTCATGGTCGCAGGGTGAAAGCTGAAGAGAACAGAATTAATTGCTTAACAGGCATGAAGCTGTGGGATGGAGGGGGTGCAAGGATGCTATGGTTGTTTTGAAGAACTAATGATGCTTCAAGGCAAGTCCCAGCTGCCTGGGGGGCCTATTGGCTTCCCACCAGCTCTCCCTGTATATTTCTAAATATAACACAAGCCTCCAGTGACTTTCCCCAGTTCTCACAGTAGGGCTCCCGAACAACTTCCCACCACTTAGGAAAGGGGAAAGCATGAATGATATTTTCATCCTCTGCTAGGGTTGCCAAGTGGAAAAATCTTCTTACCGGGGGACTCCCGGTCCGCGGCTGGAGCGCGCGCCGCATGCACATCACCAGGAAGTGACGTTATGATGGCGGGCACGCTGGGGCGGGGCAACGACCATCTGAGGGGAAACCATAGAGTTTTCCCTCAGATGACCCTGGTCCCGCCCCCAGCGTGCCCAGCGTCATAACGTCACTTCCTGGTGACGCGCACGCTAGGGTGGGGTTCCCCCCAGGGCCCGATCCGCCGGCGGTGGGGAACGGGCTTCTGGGGCGGGGGTTTCCCCGCCCCCCGGGGGGACTTGGCAAGCCTATCCTCTGCAGTAGGCGAATTTCTGCTTCTAGAAACTGCTGCTATGCGAGGTGCAGTCTGAAGAGAATATATAATCCCCATGCATGCAAATACTGTCCCTGGAAAGTTAGCATAAACTTGACATTGGTATGTTTATTTAAATTCAGAAACTGGGTGGTTTTATCAACAGGATGGCCTACAGGTGGGCAAAGCGGGCAATATAAATCGAAAATAAATAAATAATAATACAAATGAAAACAGGCAATGAAATGTGTACTAATGAAAATTTTTGACTACTTAGAAAGTCATAGGCTTGCTCCTATACAGGGGTTCCACTGGCGAAGCAGTAGCACTCGTTATGGAGGAAGGGGTGGGAATTTTTGCTTATTCCCTCCTACTGCTGTAGACTCCCGATTTGCCCAGTCACACCTTTTGGGGTCCACTGCCTCAAACAACCATGATTTCAGGGGTCAAAGCGGGATACGGTGAGAAGGATAGGCAAGGAGGCTGCCTTCTTCTAGCACAGCTCCACTTGTTCTGTGTAGAATCCAGTCTATTTTTTTCTCATCGAGAAAAATTGCTTTAAAGAGTTTTTTCTCCAAAGGGTTTAAATGTCTTCCTGTAAAATCAGGACACACACACACAACAAATCAACCCCATACCCTGAAATTGTACTTTTCAGTGAAAATTGGGCTGCCGTCTCAAGATTTCGTGAAAACTTCAAATAGACTATTGATTCTTCCACATGAAAGAGCATCAGGCACCGCTGCTAGTGTGAAGGAATACGGTGAGCAGCCGGGAAAGAGCAGAGGACGAGTCAATGGCATGCTAGATTTGTCAGCTGTTTGTAGAAATGCAAGGCAATTATGGAGAGGCCATGAATTATTACTCCAACAATGGCTAGTAATCGTCCTTGTTTCCCCTCTGCTCGAACAAATAGCCGGAGGAGCCATCATAGTCTCTTCCCTGCCCATTATCTCCAGCTGGCGGAAGGAAGCCAGCTCAGAGGACTGACCCAGGGTTCCTTATGTTCTTTCAGCATAAAACGCATCACCTGTGTACTGAAAAAGGCCATGCTCCCTTCCCTCCCACTTGTAATTGTCCATGTGTCTATGCTATGTGTCCCTTTCCTGTGTGTACCCTAGCTAGGGTGATCACATCCTGCAAATCTCTGTCTTTTTTCACAAGTTGATCTTCCTTGACAATAGTCCCTTCTTTACTTTTCACAGACCACCCAGTTATGTCTTTGCTTCTTAAAATGGCTATGCGGTTTTTACTATTTATTTTATTTATTGTATGGCAGAGTAACACACAGGAAGCATATAATAATATAAAATAGGTAACCAAGTAAATACAATGGTTATGCAGACAGATTGGGCAATCTCCCAAAATACTAATATCTAGATATTCAATCCACTCAATCGCAACTGGGGAGAGTACAAAGAGCTCCGTCACATCTCCCCAGAAAGCATGACACTCACATTCCTGTGACAGATGGAAAATAGTTTGGTGGGCTGTACCACAATTACATTCAGGTCCTAGTATTTTGCCCCATTTAGACAACAGGTCTGTGCAACTGCCAAAGCCTGTTCGTATTCTATTAGCCATCTTCCATACTTTACGTGGCAAGTCAAATCCTGTGGGCCTATCGTTGGTGTTTATCAGGTTATAGATATTGGGTGGAACTAATTGCATCCATGTTTGCAACCATTCATTCCCTAGATTGAAATTTTGTGATTGCAGGATTTGTGTAGATCTTATTGCCAGGTATCAGGACTTTAGTCTGGATAGGCCCGCATCCGCCATGTCTTTGTGGCAGGAGGAGAGCCTCATCATAAATCTATCCTCCTGACCTCTCTCTCCAAATGAAGTACGTATACTCCAATTAGGTTTAGGGCTTGTTCCAGCTTCTTATTATGATTCTTTCCGTACAAGGGTTGACATATTTTTTCTCACTAGACAATTCAGGTTAAGAACTTTTTTTTTGGAGAGTCACAGGGTATAGAAATGCACAGGTTTCGTCCCAAATCTACATTCATACCTCCCCATTCAGATCCATCTATTGCTGTCTTTGAAAAACTTGTCCTTAGGGAAATTGAAAAAGTGGAAACTTCCAGGCAAAAAGGAACTACGTGAACCTTTGAATGGAATTATTTTTCTCTTGTTCCTTAAGCATATCCTGGGTGAGTGCTGAAGATTGATGTCACAATTGTATACTCATTCAGCCTTCTCCTTTGTGGATATTTGTACTGTTATTATGGGCCAGATATTTTGAGATTATAAAATATTCCTGTTGTATAAATGCTACCTTTTTTGAAGATTTTTGGTGAGTAATTTTGTGCACAGTTTTGTTCTTATTGCTATTTCTCATTGTGTGTTGTACTGTCATGTCTTTGTGGATGGACAACTCTCTGTTTTCAGTGATATTTCTATCTTTATGAAGAAGAGCATCTTGCCTTTGGAGATGCAGGGGAACAATGTGGCACAATGTAGGTAACCAATAGATCAGAGTGTGTTTAATGCATCTGACGATGGTTCTCATTGTTAATACAACAATTAATACAACAATTAATACAACGATGAATTGGACATCAAGTTTGTGGACATGGGGGATGTTGAACCACACTGAAGCACGTCAAGTTGTACCACATAATTTTTGGAGAATGTTGTTTTGTGTGCATATTTTTGCTGCTACATTGGTAAGATGGTGTTTATAGCTCAAGGTCCTGTCCAGGGTAATGCCAACGTACTTAGGTGTATGGTTGTGTGTAAGTTGGGTGACATTAAGGTAGACATTCAGTTCATGGTTGGTGTGATTGTTATTTATATGGAAATAGGAGCCTTCTGTTTTTCCTGCACTTGGGATGAGCCACGATTATGGTAATATTCAGCCCAAATATCAAGGTCCCTACTCAGTAATTCTTCAGTCCTTTCAATCGATTTGCGCCTTACTGCAATCGCCATGTCAAGTCTTACTCATTTTAATAGACAAACGGGATCGTGTTGTTCTTTTTCTGGAAAATTGCTTGTTGATCATGTCATGCTACTATTAGATCCTCTTTAAACTAGTCAATAAAGTACTGGATGTTGTTGTATGAGTGAGCAGCCTCAAATCCCAGGTGGATGCACACATGTCACTCAGGTTCTGTGTCAGCAAAACAGTGGCTTACCTTCCAAGGCTGATGTGAGAACAAAACCATCTAAAGAGCTCTATCCTAAATAGAGTTACTCCCTTCTAAGTCCATGGAAGTTAATGGGCTTAGAAGGGGTGTAACACTGCTTAAGATGGCACTGTAACACCAGACACTAACTGCTTCTGTGCTCTTGGCAAAATAAGCAATTTTGTCTATGACTGTCAAACCATTTCCCTTGAAATGGTGCCAGCAATGATATTGAGCATGCTATGTAGGAGGTGCTTTGATGACTACAACCTTTGGCTTAATTGCTAGAATAATTTGCCAAATGCTAAATGTTAAATCTGGGGGCGTCTTTGGTCTGCTCAGAGCTCCTAACATCCCAGACTGCCGCCTCTTTCCCACATGGCCATCATTAATTCACCATTTGCAGCAGGCTGTACCGGGTTTCCTAGTCCAGTTTTTGAATAATTTTCAGAATTGCAGACATTTCAACGCCTTGTCCCCATGCATCCAAGACCAAATGTCAGAATGGCCTCAGGCTGAAGTTCCAGGATTGTACACCCAGCTCAAAAGGACTGTGATCAATAGCCAAGCCTTACAAATTGCAGAGAGCTTAAGGTTCCTTTGCAGAAAATCTTTGGGCATTTGGTAGCCATAGTAGACCGATGCTGTGGAATCTATTCACACCAAGATTCAACACAAAGATGGCCTGCAAACCCTCTGGAATATCATCCTTGCTGATACTATGGGACTTCTGGCTGTTGATATTTA